TAGTCTGCTAGGTGTGATATTTCATAGAAATGTGTCACATAATGAAGATTTCGGGGGGGGAAGAGGGGGGCATGTTTTATTGTTGCTTTTTTTGATCTAGCTCTCTGGTGAGAGGTCATTATTTGTAAGGTCAGAGCTCTTCTGGAGGTCCTCAGTTTTTTCATGCATTTAGAAGACTCTGCAGATGTATCATGGTTTAACTCTGAATACTCACAAGTTTATCTCTGAAAATACGACAGAGATCTGCTGTTAAGACCTCTTTCTATATTGTGTAAGGTGTAGGGCATTTGTGTATGTAGGAATGAGGGGAACTAAGGTGAGATAGGGAGTAACTAGTGGTGATAGTGATTTTTACATTAGGAATCTGCAATTTTGGAGTGTAGCAAGGAAAATGTATCCAACATTGTGCACGTGCTTTATTCGTCTTGGAGAACAGGCACAATATTATTAACAAGACTCAGTTACCTTATAAATGCCTGGTTTCATCTGGGGGGGGGCTGTTTAAATTCTTTATATCAGATGAAGCCCCTATATTGCCCAGAAGTGGATGTACTTGCCTGAGAGTCTAAAGACATGTTTTAGCTTATTTTAATTTCTTTAAGTGTTTGTTTTGCCTTCCAGCAAGGATTATAGGATGCTGCTTTAAATAAAACTTTGGTCTGTGAGTGAAAGCGTGTCTAGTTACACTTGATACCAGTGCTGGAGTATGGGTGCTATATAATTACTTGCAGTATGTTTGAGTAAGACAGAATTTAACACAACAGTCTTGGAATAATGAATTCACGTGCCTATGATGCATTTCCCACAGTGGGTAAGACTGGTTCCTGGTCTTGATTTGTAACCTTGCAGGTGTTTGCAGAGCTGCCATTTAAAAGGGAAAAAAGCATGCAGATGTCCTCCATTAACAGCTTTTATGGACTGCTTTTGCAAAGAAGCTCTCCAAGTGTGTGTCAGGAAGAACTTGGGTTTGAAATGCTCTGTCTCAGATCAGACACATTCAGATTACCACATGATGGGCAAAACATAGGACCTGTGTGAGGGAAGGCGGTTCTTTGTCAATTAAGGTTGGACCGGAATGGTCCTTGAGGTCCCTTCCAACCTGATTGGACCTCGCATGTGATTTGATGATTCTTCACCTCAACACCCTTGGCCTTCCTGCCCTTTCTATGTTGAAAGGGTTTGCTGATACAATATACCAGGCATCCGATGGAATGGTATCGTTCCAGTCTTCAAGTAGTTGTGCGTTATGTTTCAAAGATGTATGGATAAAGCACAGATAAAAGGCAAATACAAGGACATGCCAAGTGAGACTGTGCAGCTGTAAAGGTTTAAGCATAACCTGTCAGGGTATGAATATTGAAGTGGCATGTGGGGCCTTATCTGCACCATGAAACCTTTGATTGTGGGGTTGTATCAAAAGCCAGTTTGACTGATGACAGTGTGGCTCTACAGTGTGGTTGCTCTGGTAGAGGGGGTTCACGATAAGGAACTGCTGCCATTAAAATGGCTGCGTTTTTATTGCAACCCTTACTTAAACACTAGCAACCCCCAAATAATTTAGTTGGTATCTTAGATGAAAACAGCTTTTATATAATTCTGTAGATGAAATTGATTCCCTGGACTGTGGAATGTAAACTCTTCTTTCATGTTGATACTGGCATTGTTCGATCTGCCACAGAAGTGATTATGTCATTGTGAGCAAGGAGCTGTGGTGTGTGTCTTTACCTTAGAGGTCCAGCAGTTTCTGCTGGCCACCTCTTGTTTACTCTTTGTCTCAGTCTGTGGGACTCTGTGACTTCGGAGGAGAACTTTCCCACTCTTCGGTGTAGTCTCCAGCTTAGTTTTAACACACCTTTCCTTTTGAAAGAGTAGTGGGGGGAATCCTTGTGTCATGGAGGACACAGGAAACCTGAGACCTGATCTTCCAAGTCAGTCCTCCTCCTTTCCTGGAAACTTCTTTGGCTCAGCTCAGTGCTCATCTAGGCATCTGTTAGGGAAGTGACAACAGTGGCTGGGATGTCATGTTATTTTGCTTCTCTTCTTCCTGAATTAGGTGACAAAACAAGAGGGTCTTTTATGTTCTCTATGGCTTTATGTGTCTCCGTATACAGGAAAGTTGATTTTTTTTAATTTTTTTAAGAAACGTAGATCTTAATATGATGAGATTAATATTTCTAGGTGGTGACCAATTGAATTGAATCTGGTGAGAAGGGGAAAGCACTTGGTTTAAAACATCATTTGGGTTTTGAATTAGGTAGAAGGAAAGAAGGAAGAAGAGGATTTAAACTTAATGACATTCTTACTCCAAAGCAATTGATGCACTGATGTCCTTACAGGTAGAAAAGACACTGTAGAAACAGGTTTAGTAGTTCTTGAGGTGCTGTTTCCAGAATGTTAGAACAGGCCAGCAGTGCCTGAGCTATGGCTGCTGCAAAGCACTGTGTATGTGGGGTATCTGCAGCCTATGGTGGGGAGCAGAAAAACTGTTAAATCTGTTGTGGTTAACTGAAAGCATAGTGGATGTCTCTTACTACATTATATAATCATATCACCTGTAAGTAAAGGTATATAATATATATAACTAATGTAGACTCTTGCATCTCTGGTGTCCACAACTGTCTCCTGATGCTACTAAAAATAACAAAATTATAGAATTAAACAATTGGAAAACGATTTTGGGGCAGCTTTTGCCTAATGCAGTAAAACCCCCTTAACAACCCAGTGATTTGACTTGATTATTTTGACTGGAATTTAGACTTGAAATACATCATCTTTTAACCATGGAACACACTGTAATTGCGCTACGCTCCAAGTTACAAAACGCTTAATAAAGTGATGCATGTGAAATGGGAATGTCAGCAGACAACTGGAACAGAAGGAATTGGGTACAGTATTATTTTAGTCCAGCTAGACTGCCTTACATGCTTCAACTTGTTCTCAGACAGTTTCTGTAGCTTAATCCCCCTTTATTTTAATGCATACAATTATAGATTGGTGACATAGTTTGTACTGAGGAATTAGCAGTTGCAGAATCTCGAGTCCTGGCAGCTCTTGGTTACTTTCCATGGGAAGAGCTGTTGCCTGTGTTCGATGGCAGCAAGCAGAGAGCATCTCCTGCTGTGACATTCTCAACATATTTCACCCCACATTTAAAGCTCCTGACCACCTGCTTGAGGAGGGTTCAGCTGCTGGGGATGGCTGCGGGGACTTGTGCTTATGGCGGTGTCCTGGTGATTCTGTCCTGAGACTGCTTGCTGTTGTTTAGCCAAGTGCAGGCACCGTGATAACAGTCGACTGCTGGGGTGTGTGTCTGCATGTGTAGAAAAGCCTGCTCAAGGAAAGTTTATTTCCTTTGGTGGTTTTGGGGTGTGCTGAAAATGGTGTCTGTCTTCTGTGGCCTCTCCGTTTCTTTGCTTGTGCAGCCCCTGCAGAGAACACAGTATTGCTTCTGGTCACAGCAGGTTTCTGTTGTCTTCCTGGAGCATCCCACTTGTGTTTGGAACTGACTGTTTTCAGCTAAGACAATGAAGTGTTTTTCTGCAGCTTCATGTGAGAAAATACATAAGCTTTGAATCAACCAGCTTTCCCCCCAACCTTTAGCTGTGTAAGTTTAGCATAAAGACAATCCCTTTCGGATCATCTAAGGTAGTTTCCTAACCTCATGGTTTACCGTAAGAGAGGTCAAGAATGAAGATAACTGATACGCACATTTTGCGTTTTAAAATGATGTCTGTTGAAAGCTGTTCACTGATTAAAATTCCCATCCTTCAAAATATCTTGAGACTTTCCACTTAATTGCCATGTGTCACCTCTGTTGAAAAACGTTTGAATTGAACACTCCAGGTAAAAGTGCTTCCCTGTGGTGTAACCGAGTACATCTCTTCCACCTCTTTCAGCTTTCTCTAAGCCTTTGAAGGAGGCGTCTCCTGTTTCAGGAGCAATGGGGTAGCAGGTTGAGGGGTCCCAGCCCATAGTGTTATCAGTGCAGTTCCCTAGTAGCTGAGGTGAATAAAATCCAAATTGGATACTAGAGACTAAGAAGCAAAAAGAGTGGATTTAGGATTGTCTCATTTGGATGTTCTCCATGTGCGTTTCTAGTCTCTTCCACCTCTATCATGTAGAGAGATTCCATTATTTAGGAGTGAGAAATTATCCATCTGCTGCACTATTTCTTTTGTACATTTCTGTCTGGTTTTAACAATAGACACCTTATGAGTATTACCGTGGTTACATACTGCATTCGGAGAACAAGAGAAAGGTTGTAAAGGTTGAGAATTCAGTTATGGAAAGAGTACACTGTGTTCTACCAAACATATTATGTTCTTGAGATTTGATTGTACTTTTCTATTGCTGCTCAGGCTTTGCATTGCGTTTTTCTAGCAGGCTTAACACCTGGGGTGCTTTTCTCAGGTAAAATATTGCACCACGTGTGAGTGCTGAGGACATACATTGCAGCTGAGGCTCTGCCTGGCTTCTCCCCCCCCCCCCCCCCCCCGACCTCCACAGGGAGAGAGAAGTGTAACTTGGCATTCACATCTTTACAGTTGCTCTGCACAGCAAAGTGACTGACTCCATTTGTCAAACTGCTTTCTACTTGACCTAATAAATGTCCTTTACTTCCCGTCTGTATGTGATCTAAGGGCTACATCCTGTGTGAAACGCTAAATCAAAGCCTAACTCGGTATTGCGCTGATGAGTCCAGCCTTTGATTTTTCTGACAGGTCAGGGCAATGTTAGCTGGTGATAGGTGCTGTAGGAATGGGCAGGACTTAGTAAGGGCAAAATCTGCATGCTTAACCTGTGATGTGATTGGAATTTTGACTCACAAAAATCTTTGGCTCTTTCATCAAAGAATTTGACAGTGAATGAAAACTCACAGATTCCTATAGCTTAGTTCAAATTTTCTTTGTTGCTTTCTACTGCAAACGTTATTTTGGAGTGGAATTCCTCTGTGTCATCACATACATTGGACAATCTGCACATCGTAAGGGGTTTTTGTCTCTGGAGTTCAGACCTTTGAGCTGCTGTATTGAAAACAAACCCCAAATACGGTTCCTTGTGTAAGGAACACCAGAGGGGCAGTGGAGCAGCCAGTGGGGAGGTTACAGCCCTTCCAGCTCCCTTTCCCTCTACGTATTTTGAGAGTATCTGTTTGGCAGGACTCTGATGTCCCTTGTCTCATATGTATGTATTGCTTTCCATCCAAGATGTTAAACTTCTGTATGTTGAAAGAATCACATGTTTTATTGGTAACAGAAGGATTAGGGATTGTGCATCTGCCTAGCTTTGCATCAGGCCGGGGTGAGTAAGTCTCAGTGCTTGGGTTCCTTCTAAAAAGGAATCTGATTCCATGGATAAAAAAATATTTCCAATTACTTGTATATTGCTTTTTGTTTGCACAACAGTTGGGTTGTATAAAGAGGCTCTGGTTTGTCAACTGGTTTGGAAGATTTTCTTCTATATTTTAATACTTCGTGGTGACCCAGTTAATCCCGAGTAATTACTATCTAAATATATTGGTTTAACATAAGAAAAGGCTGCTTGGAAAAACGCTGGGAAGGGAAAGAATGGCTCTTTGCAAACGCTTAAGAGTTGTTAAGGGACGTCTCCAGAGCTATTAGCAGAGGTTTTAACTTCACTATTTTGAATTTAGCTCCTGAGGCTTGAAACAAAGCAGCAGAGCGAAGGAATTGATCTGAAAAGGAACTGAAAGAGAACATTTTCTCTGTCTTTGGGGTAGTCTTTTTGGAAAAGCACTTGACACGGATGCATCATGGGATGCCCTTGGAGAGCGAGGAGTGGGATACCCACAGTTAGACTGGACCTGGTTGATAAAATGGAGCTATAACCTTTATTTGCTGCCTTCTCCCCTCTCTCTTTCCAGACTCTTGCTCTTGGGACTGGAGTTGAGCACTGTGTTGGTTTTGAGTAGGCTCAGTGATTTCTGATTGCAGGCATTTCTCAGGAGTTTGAGCTTAAATCCTGTCAGACCTGCTCTGTCTGTATGGCAGAGCTGCAGAGTGCTGCAGTCCAGGACGGCTCTGAAAGTGGAAAAATGGCTTAATTTAGGAAAGGTAAGGAGGGCTGACACCTGAAGGGCTGTGTTAGCAAGAGATGTACCGCCATCCCTGTAATTAGGAGAGATCAGTCATGTAAATTACACTGGCTGGATTTGGCGTGCTCATTGCGAGTTTCAAAGTTACTTGGTTTACAATAGTAATTCATCTCATGTGGCAGAGAGCAGAAGGGTAGTGTGGTGCAAGTCACACCGAGGAGTAAAAGAAAGTGGGCATGAATGTGTAAGCAGAAGCCTTTCGATTATAATCCCCTCCTCTCAGAGATCTAGCACTTTGTTCCTGTCCCTGCGCTGCCTGCAGTTGGTGCTATGCAATTACAGCTGGGGCAGCAGGGTAAAGGCCTAAGAAATAAATCATATATATATATAAACAAATATATATTTTTTAAAGGGGGCCAAATTTCAGGGTACTGAGTTTGTTTGACCTTGAAGCATCTCTGAATGCTTGCCTTTGCTTGTAAACTCTGCTAATGTGGTGCCTTTAGCAGGAAGGCAGTGGCAGGGAGTACTACTTACCTGCAAATAAACAGGTTGCAAATAGTTTGCCTTTGCAAATGGCACTCATTTTTCTCAAGCAAAGTACTATCAGGCTGATACTTGGGGATGTTGGGATAAGGGGAGGGGTGGGAGCACTGTCTCTTGCAAAGAGAGGAAACAAAGCTCGCAGTGATCTGTTGCTGGCTTTGCTAATTGTGGCAGTGTGGTGCTGTACAGCCTCTCAGTGGCTGTCTCTTAGGGTTGGCTGTGTCAAAAAACATGAACTTAAGTCATATTTGCTTTGTCATCCTGACTTGCTGCTTTCAATTTCTCTTTAGTTTCTGGAAGCTTCTTTTTAATTCTTTAGTGGGAAGGCCAAGATACATCCGAACATAAAAAAGGCTCTCCCCAAAGAAAACCCACCTCATGTTGGTCCAAAGTGGTGGGAACAGGAAGGTGGGTTTGTGAATATCTGATCACAAAAGGGTAGCAAATCTGGTTTTCAGCATGTGTTCCTCTTTAGTTAGTTTTTAACTAGATGCTGCAGAGGACTGGAGCTGTTTCCCAATGGCGAAGCAAGCAATGAAATATGACACAGGGAGGGGAAGAGGGTTGGCACGGGGCCTGTGTGCACAAATAGCCCACTACCTTTTGAAGTGTACTTGCAGCCGAGCAAACAGTGCAGGCTGCCTTACAAAGACTTACAGTGGAAATCTTCCCCTTGGAACCTTCAATTTTTTTTTCCCTGTCATGTCAATAAAATGTCATTGCTACTGATTTCAGAATCATAGCTCACGAGACGTCGTGGTGTGTCTGAAAATACCTTTATGTAGTAGTGGATTAGGAAGAGAAAGAGCTGTATTGCTGTCTTTGGTAGCTCTTAGAATGCCTTTTGCCTTGTCTTGCTGTAATAGAGGATGACACCCCAGTGAAACCTAAACTCTAGATTGTAGTGTTTGCTGGTTGAGCGAACAGGAGTCTTTTGGCACAGCCCTGTTGGGAGTTATGTAAATCTTGTGCAGTGTATAAGCAACAAGCGGTTGGTGACATAGAACTGAGCATTTGTCTCTATTTCCTAGCTAATGTGACATGCACCCTTCCTGCAGCATTTGCCCGAGCTGGCTGGGTTAAATATAGCCCTGATGCTCCTAAGTAGAAAAATGGCTCAAGCTGAATAATGGTTTCTGGTCTGAAATTCATTGTTCTAAACATAGAAATCTTACATGGTGGCTCTTCTGCCTCCCTGTCATATCAAAGTGTTCCGTGGTAATGGTGAAAGATCTCGGCGTAAGGCTTAGTTTGCTGAATTTGCCGATCAGTTGCTGTGGCCACATTGTGCAGGATATTCCTCCAGTGTCTCCTAATGCTTTGGTTGGGCGCTGGGAGACTTTAGCAGGATGTCGGGAACTCCTGTGGTTAATAGAGCATCATTATCTTGTGTCACTCTGATGGATCACCCGACTGGTACGAGTGTTGTTTAGGTTCTCTCCCACGTGCCTCTGTAGCAGAACTGCCTAATTGGGCTATTGCCCTCTCTGCCCCAAGCTCCAGTGCTATTAGCTGCTACACTATCGGTCCCCTGTGACAAGGAAGGAGTGATACTTCGCCCATGCAGTTCTGATTTTATTCCCCTCCCTCACTGAACACTGTAGAGATTGAATTGAATAGGAGGCAGTTTCTTTGCTCACTGTTTTGAGTCTCTTTCCAGCTGGCAAGCACTCCAAAAAGCCCTTTGTTTGCTCTTTCTCAGGGTCACACTGCAAATGTTTCTCTTGCTTTCACCTTGGCTTTCTGGCTTTGATTTATACATGTGACTCCCTGCCACACAATGCAAACCCTCAATATAGCACTGTACCTATCTAGTGCAGCTTCTGACTAATCTTCTGCATGGTTTGGATTAGGTGGCACTTCCCAGTTCTTGAAAGTTTTGGGGGCTTTTTTTATCCTGCTCAAAAAAAAGCAACACAGATTTTAGTAATCGTGAATAAAAAGCCGTGTCTCTGTCCATTGCATTTGGTGAGATTTTACTCATCTCCATTCTTACAGCACCCAGTCACAACATGTAAATGAGGACCACAGCCTCACACACATGAGGAATTGCATGACTTGCCAAACACATAATAACTTAATAGTATATCGTGGAGTGGCACTTAAGACTCCTGAATCCTCTTCCTGTTGGGCTATTCCTCTTCTCAAATGAATGATCACATGAGTGTCCTTAATATATCACAGACTTCCACTGTCATTTGTCTTTGTTAAGTAAGAACTTGTGATTCAGAGGGTTTATAAGTTCCTTTCAGTTGTGACTATCCAGAGCTGAGCAGGCACCTTAATGATTAACAAATAGTCTTGGAGTACTAGTGGCTCATACATGAGAGGATGTTTCAAAAGCAGCAAGGCTTGAGTTACTACCCATAGCTACTGATGCCCTTTGGCCCTGAGAGGTATCATAAAAGCATTCTTTGTGTTTTGCTCATCTTGTGCTCCTTTTGGGCTTTTTGTGCTAAAATAAATTGAAGAAATCCAGTCCTTTTGAAATTAGCACAGGAAACAAGGCTGATAGAAAGAAACCGCCCTGTTGTTTATGTGCGGCTGCAGAGCGCTTTCCTTGGTGTCTCTTGAACTTGTCTGCAGATTTCATAAAGAGCTAATGGAATAGAGGTTTCCAAGGTTGCCAAGTTCCAGAATTTCCAGTGCTAATAAGAAGCAGAGTAGAAAAGTGGTCTAAAATAGTGTCCCTGGCAAATAAAATGCTATATTTTGAGCTCTCTTATCTTTTAGAATTCATGTGTGATAGAGAGAAAAGCTTTAAAAAGCCATGACCAGCAGAGCTAATACAGATTGGTTATTTTTGCTTAGCTGTTTAGGATGACATACCTAAACCTGTTAAGACAACCTGACCCTCCTGTACTTCAGGTTGTAATCTGCTTTTTTGCTTTCTAGGAATCTACAAGCCGCCATTGGAGCCTACTATGATTTTGAGAGTCCAAATATCAATGTACCCTCCATGTCCTTTGTTGAAGATGTAACCATAGGTGAAGGAGAGTCCATCCCTCCTGATACCCAGTTTACGAAAACATGGAGGATACAAAACACAGGTAAGGCTTTTAGATTGTAGCAAAACCTATGTAGTATGTGATGGGCTGGCAGAACTAATGGAAGAGATGCTGGTTTAAGGCAGGAGGTTTGTGTGCACTTAACTTGGAACAGAGCCACCCTGTCACAGGAGAAGGTAGCTGCCAGTCTCTGTGCTGTCCCTTCCTACACTGGCACAACCATTCTGTGGTGAGATGTGCAGCTCAGTTCACCAGTCTTCTTCCTCAGGCCACCATGCAGAAACGCTGTGAACTCCTAGATAAAAACAAATGGAAGTGCAAGTCATTGGGCGGGCCTCCCACACCCTTTTTGGCCTCCCACTCATATTCAGCCTCTACTTTGTAATTGGCCTCCCACCCATTTTCAGCCGTTTCTCTGACATCTCTGTCGTTGGGTTGTTCTGCTCTCTATAGCACTGTGTTCTCTGTGGAGGCACTGATGCAATGATCTACCTCTGAGAAGATGTAGCGACACAAGGGTCATGTGGCAGATACCCTTTCCTTTTGAAATCTTTCTTGGCAACATTGCTTGTCCATGCTCTCAGAGACCACAGTCCAGCCTAAGTCAAACAGTGACTGTGACCCAGGAAGTGGGATGAGGCAAAATACATTCTCAGTGCTTGATCTGTTGGGATGTGGTCAGAAAGAAAGATGGGATCCATGGACTTAAGCAGAATAGCTTGTCCTCAAGTGTTACAATGACAGGATGTTGCTTGGATGTTTAAGCTGTGTGTCTGAAATTAATTGACATGCTTGCACTTTTGTGAAGAATGATAGCACAACAAGGGATAATATCATGAATCATCATGAGTAAAGCTCAGCTGCATTAGTATTTCTGCTTGTTAGTAACTGCAGTACTCAAGTGCTGTACAGATTTCTGCTGAGTATCAACGTATAACTGAAATCATACTAAAAATCTAGGAGTGTTTCATCAAGAAGCAAGAGGTGAGAAGAGGGCCCATGTGTGTTTAAGAACGCTGAGTTATAGAGACTGTATTCTAGAGAAAGGGTTTAATGATTTCAGTTGACTTTTTCTGCCTCCATTTGTTTGACATGGCACAACGGGAAGGTGACACATGTAGCTTGCTTAACTCCAGTAATGTTGAGAAAATGACAGTTTCTCACAGCTGTCTCAAATACAAATGTAGTAAGTTTGACAGGTCTTTTTTCTCCTCTTAGTATCTTCATTAGCGTGTGTTATGACTACAACCATACCTTGCTTCGTTCAGACTTCTTTCTCTCTTTTTCCTCTGATGTGCTCTTTACTGCATGCAAGTTCAGCCTAAATTTAACATCCTAGTTCAGGCAATGTTTCATTGTTCCTGGATTGACCTGCTGAAATCTATGGGCCTTCTGAAAGGAGGAAAGGGAGTTAATCTTGACATATGAGTTCCTGGCAGGGCCAGCATTTGTTTTGGCTTCTGTGTGTGTTAAAGCCTGACTTCTTAAAATGTACATCTGTACTCTTAACGGTGGTGCTGGAGGCCAGATCTTGTTAAAACCATGCTGTTGAGGCATGTTTTAGTTACATGCAACTTCACAAACTGTGTTATGACTGCAGTTTAAGGTGAACTGTAGCATTTTAAGACCAGTTTTTGGTTTAATTAAGGTATAGTATCAAAGAGCTATAGTGTTTCCAGATGATATCTCCTTGTTAGGTAGATAACTGAAGCAAAGCCAAGGTTTTTAACAGCTCTGCAGGAACCCTTGATTAAATGACTTCAGTTTTAGAACACAGAATACCTGAGGCATATGTCACCGAAGTGTTTGGTGCATGACGAGTATGACAATCAGAGCAATGAGAGATTGTCAGTTTTAAGTGTGCAAGCAGTAAGCTAGATTCAGTCAGGTTCTCAGATGTGTTACTAAAAACCAATACCCTGCTCCGATACCTTTCAGGACGGTGCTTGGTTTGTCTGCCAAAGGACCAGTTTGTATAGTGGAACCATTGCTGAAAGAGCAGCAGGATTTAACAGACTTATTTCCTTTTCCCACTCTACTCCCAGCAGCTGCTGGCTCTGCAGGACATCTACTACAATTTATCATCTCTTGAGAGATGAGTGTACTGCAATAGAATGACATAATTCCATTTTATGGGGCTTATCAGTTGAAGTGTTCTAGGCACCTTGCAAGCCTAAAGCCATTAAACCTGATAAAAGTCACATAAATTATTTAAACTAAGCCGTGTTGCTGGGCTGCCAGCCTTTCCAGATGAGACTTCATACTCCTGCACACCATAGTCTGGGGTCAGCTCGTCAGTCACCTTCTCTTTTTGCAGAGCTCGCTATCTCAGTGCTGTTTCCAACTGTAGTGATACATCCCCTGCTCCTGATATCCTACTGTACTTGTTCTCATCACTCTTTCCACGCTAGATTGTGAGTTGCACAAGTAAGGACTTGACCAGAAAACCAGTCCCCGCCATGTCTTTGCTGAAGTATCCACAGGGATTAAATTAGCAGGCAAGCTGTTGCAAAGGATGCTCTTTGAGGTAGCATAAGGTCAGGTCAGCATCCACCATTCTCATCTCAAATGAGACAGAGTGGTTCAGAGCTCCCTGGTGGTTCAGGCTTTCCTTAGCTGTTTCCATTGACCTCAACCGAGCATAAAGTATTCTCCAAGTCATTGCCTTAGTCATGTCATTACTGGGGAAGCAGCATAAGAAAATTCTGCTGAACTGATTTTTCGGGAATCTCACAGGCACTTTTCTTTTTGTCTGCCCCAGTACTTGTTACATTTGGCTGTGCCTGTGTGTGGAACTGCTTCCTGTACCTCTGCACATTGCCAGGTCACATTGTCGGTCCCACTGTCTGCAGTCCAAACATTCATCTCAACAAAGAAATCACATGTTCACAGGCCTTTCCACCTTTGCACAAGGCTGAGAGAAGGGTTGTTACAAGAAAGGAAATAAAGCCATTTAGAGAATAGTACTAGTTCTTTAATTATAGTTCAAACTGTTGGCTCCTCCTGAGGCTGCGAATGGGCTTAGAAAAGAATTAATCCCTGAAAGAATGTTTCCAGCACTTTGTATTAATAACATCTACGTTGATGTCTCTCAGGAGCTACGTGTAGGGAGGCAGAAAGAAGTGGGGGGGGCCCACCTTTGTCTCTAGCGTCGGTACAGTACACATACATGGTGGTTGTGTTGATTTTTCTTGC